TTCACAATAGATTTGTACATACAAGTTGACTGTCCCTTATCTGAAATTCTTGGGACCAGAGTGTTTCAGATTTTCATTTGAAACCCACTTGATCTGCAAAGAGGATAGCTACTCCTGCTTTTTTTCGGGTTTTTGTCGCATGGAGTATTGTTTTCCACCCTTTAACTTTCAGTCTATGAGTTTCTTTTTGAATTAAATGTGTTTCTTGTATGCAGCATATTGTTGGATCTTTCTTCTTGACCCATTCTGCCAGTCTATTTCTTTTGATTGGTGAATTGAGACCGTTAACATTGATGATTATAATTCATATATATTGACTTATCATTGTCATGACTTTTTCTGTTTGTTGGATTCTCCCCCTTTGCGTTTAATTTCTTGTTGCGCCCAATGGATTCATTCTGCTGGGGTTCCTGGGGTTGTGATCCTCGTTGTCTTTTCCTAGGATATTGTCTAAAAGTTTTTGGAGTGCTGGTTTGGTATTCATGAAGTTCCTAAGCTGCTCTTTGTCATGAAGGTATCTTATTTCTCCGTCAAGTTTGAAAGATAATTTTGCAGGGTACATCAGTCTGGGTTGGAGGTTGTTTTCCTTTAGGGCTTCAAATGCATCACTCCAAGCTCTTCTTTCCTTGAGGGTTTGCATTGAGGAGTCTGCTGTGATTCTGATGGTCTTTCCTTTGTATGCGATTTGCTTCTTTTCTCTAACTGCTTGTAGAATTTTGTTCTTCTGTTGGGTTTCTGGAATCTTAACAGTTATATGCCTATCTATAGATTTTTTTGATCATGGCTACTTGGAGTCCTATATAGCTCAGTTATCTGTATGTCAAGTTCTTTCCCTCTGCTTGGGAAGTTTTCTGCCATCACTTCTGTGAACAGTTTTTTAATGTCATCTGCACTCTCTCCCGTTGCTTCATTGACACCGATCAGTCTTATGTTATTCTTCTTTGCATCACATCTAGCAGCTGTTGGATTGATTTCTCACGGTCCCTTACAATTTTAAAGAAAGTTTTCTTTTCCTGGTCACTAATAACAATCTTATCTTCTATATCTGAAATTCTGTCCTCACATTGGCTCATTCTGCTGCATAGACTTTCAATGGAATTTTTAATCTCCTGGAAATCTGTTTGTATCTGTTTTACAGATTCCATTTGCTTCCTATGCTGGGATTCCATCATGTTCCTCACCTCCTCTATTTTTTTTATCTGTGTCCTCTCTAGATTTATTAATCATGTCTTGCACTATGGGCAAAATCTCTGCGGTTATCTGAGAAATTATTTCTGATTTCATTTTTTCCATATCCTCTTTTGTTGCCAGTGGATGGAGTCCAGGTGGTTGAGTATCAGAGTGTTCCATCTCCTTTCCCTTTGGGGTTGTTTTAGGTGATCTGGAAGTCTGGTTTTGAGGCATGTTTACGTGTCTTCTCATTTCAACAGTCGGGGGTGGGGGGTCTTGCTCCTGGCACCTGCGTGGCTCACCTTCTCTGTGGTAACAGGGTCAGTATGGGCGGCCTGGAAGCCTCCTCCTGTTGTGTGCTGGGAGCGGCTCACCTCCTCCATGCTGGCAGGGGCGGTCTGGTGTCAAGTTTTAATTTTGATAACATGCTCGTTAATTGTTTCCAGACACATTGTGTTAATGGGGGACATCACAATAGTGCGTAACGTCACATGGACATACATTTTAATTTGGGGGCTCTTGCTACTTGCTAGTTATTTTATTCTTTTCTTGATTTTTTTGTGTGAATGCTTTTTTTTTTTTACAGCTGACTCAAATCTTTCATGGGAAAATCCTTTTTTTACAGCTGACTCAAATCTTTGGTGGGGGGAGTGAATCAATATTTATTGAGCTTGTTCTGGGTGCCATGCACTGTGGGAGACCCTGGGAAATATGAAAATGCATATGATTTGCTCCCCGGTGGAAGAGAGAAGTGTGCAGACAAGTAAATGGAGCCCAGCTTGTCAGGGAGCCCTGTGATCAGAGTGGTCCAGAGGACACCTCTGCAGAGAGGAGGTGGCAGAGACATACCCACCAAAGAGCTGGATCCTGAAGTTTGATTATTTGCCAGGCAAAGAAAAGGTACAGAGGCTTTTGTGTCCTAGGTGTCAGCTATGGGACGTGTGTGTGCCAAGTCCACTCCAAATCTGCTCCTGTGGGGGATTTTCTCCAGGGTCCAGGAGCAAGAGTTCAGAATTCTAGACCTGTGTGCCTCTTGCAACCCTGCCATTTAGTAGCTAGGAGCTTGCAACATGTCTGGACCTGTTTCTCCCTCTGTAAGATGGAGATAACTGTTTTCCTGTGTTACCCAGGTCATCGTGTGGAGGAGATCAGTTAAGTGTGTGCAGAAGGACAGGGCAGGCCGCACACTGTGTGTGACGAGTCATACTGAAATCCTTAGTGTTCATTTCGATCCACATATTTGTAGTTAGGCTTAAACGTTTCCACCTTCCTCATCCCTCCTGCTGAACCCTCTGTATTTGAGGCCTTCCTCAGGGTTCTACTTTCAGGTGGCACTTGGCCCTGGGACACATTACTTAACTGTCCCCACTGTGGACAACTCCCCAGTCTGGCCTCTGTCCTGCAGTTTCTAGAGCCACACCTTGAGCTGCTGCCCAGATGTCCTTCATCATCTTGGATGTCCTGGGTTTAAAGGCAGTTTGTCTCCCCCATTGCACTGCACCTGACTTTCTCTGTTTCTCTGAAGATATATATATTTATTTTGAAGCCTCTAGGTCAAACTAGAAAAGTCTACACACTGTCAAATATAAACATGAGGAACTGTGAGAGAAGCCACTACTTCATTCTGGCCTCTGCTCGGGTGCTGCCCCTCCCACCTCCTCTCCATCAGCCTCCGTGAAGGAGCCTGCCCTTCTCTGCTGTTCTCTTATCTTCTTGGCTGTTTCATTCACTTGATATTTTACTTGCACTTATCACCAACACCCTTTCAGTTGGGTTCACTGCTGTGTTCTTAGCCAGGTGCCCCATAACAAACTGCTGAATAGGTTAAGTGTTCCCCATCTGACACCCCACTAGGACGGAAGCCTCCTGGGGGTCCCTGGCATGAGTCGTGCCTTCCAGCACTTGTTTGAAAGAATGAAAGGAATCCACTGCACATATTGACCACGTTTGTTTTTGTTTTTTTGGTACCAGGGATCGAACTTGGGTCCTTGCGCTTGTGAGGCAGGTGGCAGAACCACTGAGCTAAATTCCTGACCCCGCATTTGTTTTTTATATTCATATATGCACACATGTGATCATTTTAATTTTATGTTTAAATTATGTACAGATTTCTCATTCTGAAATGAGATTCTTTTTTTTTTTTTTGGTACCGGGGACCAAACTCAGGTCCTTGTACTTGCGCAGCAGGCGTCGAATCCACTGAGCTAAATCCCCGGCCCCTAAAATGAGATTCTTAAGAAGGATGTGGTGTTCCAAGTAATATCTGGAACCTTTAAAGTCTGCTACTGCTAATGTGGTTGGGAAGATTTGCACACAGACTCAAAGTTGGGTTTTTTCCCCAGTGATTCAACAGCACCTGATTACGTGCCACACTCAGTTAAATGGCTTAGTGTCTGGATTCTTTTCTGTTTGCATTGTTCCAACTGATTTCACTCCTCAAAATGGATAATTAAGGCTTTATACTTTTAGGAGAACATATAAAAACTCTTATTTGTACTTTTGTCTTTTCCATTTTGTCTTCTATTTTAGAGGTTTCACTTGAGAGCACAGGCTCCTGCTTGGTTGAGTTCTTTTATCATTGCCTAACATACTGCTTGCTCTTCTGCAGCAGACTCTTCTGAAACAGAGTGGGACTTCTGGTGTTCAGAAAAATGAGATGTGCACATGACATTAACTTGGGGCGTCTTGAAAAGCAGAGTGGCAGCCAGGCATTGCTGGGTTACCTCTAGACATCCTTTGCATTGGGAAAATAAAGGTCCCTTTTTCAAACTACCTGGTGACTACCTAGTGCTGTCAGCTTCTGAATGTGTAGTTTTCCTTAGAAAAGAGAAATCCACTCTTTTCTCCCTTCCCACCTGCTAATGATTTTTCTGTCTTCTCTTCAGGTATTCAAACCAGAGAGCAGTGACAAAGAAGCAGAAGCTGCCTATGAATCTGATTTCCCTGAGGAGCTCTGTGGACACCACCTCCCGAAGCAGTCCTCGAAAGGCTGTAATGACAGTACTGATGTCATTGTAGAGGCTCAGTATGATGACAGTGACTCAGAAAATGGACACAGCAACTCACAAAATGCACTGGCTGATGGTGTTAAGAAACTCTCAGTTTGTGCTCATGATAAAGGTGAGTCTGCACTGTTGCATGGCATTTTGTTTTAGTGAATAATTGAGCAGTGGGCTTCTCTCTGGCAGAGTAAGCCACACAGCACAGTAGCTGTATTCCCTGTCTCTGACCCATGGCACCTTTTAGGAATGGGGATCTTTGTTACGCATCTGCTGCTGGTTCTGAGACAGGACAGAAGTGCTGTCCAGTGGATTGTGTGGGCAGTGGTTGCTGTTACCACGCTCCTCATGGGCTTTGAGGTCTGTCCATAGTTAACCTTGACATTTCCAGTGGTGTTCCTAGTCTCACTATGTGGGTGATATGAACAGAATTAAATCAGTCTTTAAAATCCCTTACGCAAAAGTACTTTATTTTACCCTTGGTTTTGCTTTAATTCAGTATTTTAAAACAATATTTCTGAAGATTTTATGAACAAAACCTCAGTCACCTGTGAACTAGCACAAACAATCAACAAGTGGGATCTCTTCTTACTAAAAGACTTCTGCACAGCAAGAGAAACCACCGGCAGTGTGAAGAGACAACCCACAATGTGGGAAAAAATTTTCACCTGCTGTTCCTCAGGCAAAGGTCTACTATCTCGAATCTTAAAGATTCTAGAACTTAAAAAAATAAAGAACTTAAAAAAACTTAAAGAACTTAAAAAAATCAGACCTCCCAAATTTAAAGACCCAATCCAAAAATGGGCATCTGAAATGAACAGACATTTCTCAGACAAAGAAGTAGAAATAGCAAATAAACATATGAAAAAATGTTCAACATCACTGGTCAATCGAGAGATGCAAATGAAAACAAAGCTGAGATTCCACCTCACCCCAGAAAGAATGGCTGCTATCATGAAATCAACCAACAACAAATGCTGGCGGGGCTGTGGGGAAAGAGGAACCCTGCTCCACTGCTGGTGGGGGTGTAGACTGGTGCAAGCACTGTGGAAATCAGTATGGAGATACCTCAAAGAACTAGGACTGGAAGTCCCATTTGACCCAGCTATTCTCCTGCTGGGGATCTTCCCCAAAGAATTAAAAGAATCATACTATAGCAATATATACACACCCATGTTTATAGCAGCATAGTTTGTAATAGTTAAAACTTGGAAACAGCCCAAATGACCATCAACTGGAGACTGGATAAAGAAAATGTGTTTTTAAAAAAATAAATGGAGCACTACTCAGCCATAAAAAGTGAAAAATTAGAGTCATTTATAGCTAAATGGATGCACATTGAGGCAATACTCTAAAGTGAAATAAATAGTATACACATGCGTAAATACCAAATAGTTTCTCTAGTGTGAGAAACTGAAAGTGTAAATAAGGACTAAAAGGTATAATAGATAATGTGAAATAGGAAGAAAAGGGGGCAAAGGGGAAGGGGAAGTGGGAGGGGTAGGGGAAAGGAAAGAAGGGAATGAAATTGATATGAGAAAATGAAAAAATGAAAACAAAGTCTTTGTAAATAGGGCGGGATGGAGGGGTTGAAGGGAGGGCAGGGGAAGGGGGAAAAAATAAGAACCAAGAGAGATTATGTAAAGGTGCAAATTTCCAGGGATGAATGTCATTATTTTGTATACCTAAAATGTACCAATAAAATAAAATTTAAAATTCCTAAAAAAAAAATTCTGTCATTGTGCATATAGATCCCCCTAAATTTTATAAGCAGGTTGTCTTTAGGAAGGATTGTGATTCCAAGCCTTTGGACTGTCCAGTTTTCTGAGTGACATCTAAGTCGTGGGTCCTCTGCAGAAGAGAGAGAAGTAGTTACAAACACATGGGTGAGGAGTTGGGCCCAAGGCCCTGCCTGACCACACTTCAGGAACTTAGGGCAAGGGGCATTTACAAGTTGAGTGCTTCAACCTGCCGGTTTCTAAGAGAGTTAAGCAGAGGGAATATATTTTACAGTCCAACGGATTTTTATGTGTACTCTGGAATAGAGAAGCTTGAGCAACACTGACCTGGCCAAGCTGACTAGATACTGAGCTTTGTTATCAGGAAAAAGTTTCTGGCACAGTCCCTGTAAAAGGCTGGGAGACACGCCAGATTACTGCAGGAGGATGTTCAGCAGATGACCTGGGACAGGAACTGATGAGCACAGCTCCCTACATGCTGAAGAAAGCTGAGCATTTCAGGAAGTGACTGCAGCAGGATTACCTGATTTTCTCCATTGCTCTTGTGACCTGGGCCAGAGAGCATGTTCTGAAAGCGTGTGTCCTTTTTGGTGGCAAATACTGTCTTTCAGAATGATTTCTTTGAATGAAGAGGCTACTGGTTCCTCTGTCACTGTTATCCCCCACCCATACTGACCTAAAGGAACTCAAGTTTTTCTTATTTTGTAGCATGCTTAGATAGCTAGTGATTTCACAGTTCAAGGCTGAGCCTATTTCATTTGGATGCGATTCCTTGAAATTTCATTCTTTTGATGTTTTTTAAAAAATGGTTGTATATTGTGACTCTTCTTAAAGTGCATATGTATTTCATAACAGCATCAGTACTGGAAGAGAGGGAAATAACCAAGACCTTAACAGCCAAATTCTTCATCAACAAGATCCTCCAGGTGAGAGGTATTCACAGGCCAAAGCCAGCCGACAGGACACTTTTAAGTGTATTGAGCATTTGGCTTGAAGCTACTTCGTGGAAACCCAGCTCTGGTGGTTAGGCTCGGCAGATCTCAGCAGCCTCCTTTCCCTTGGGGTGTGTGCTGAGTGGATAAGACACCTTGATCTCTCACTAGTTGATACAAATGCAAGAGCAAGGAAGTATTGAGGGATGTGGTAGCTGAATTGGTGGCTGGGTTGGATGTGTACCATACACTTTGCCTTTTGGAAGTGCCGGTGGCCAGACTGCCTCTTGGTGTGTCATCTGTTATAATTCCTCTCCCTCTGTTTTACAGGTAAATGTCACTGAGTGCTTGCAAGTCCATGTATGCATGTTTTCCCTTACTCTTTTTGTGTTCTTCCTAGCCACTGTTACTCCTATTGCTTCCTTAGTATCCCTGACCGAGAGAACAGCCCTAATCCTTCCCTTAGTGTCTGGCACAGGTCTCTCTTTCCTGCTAGCCTTTAAATAGAGAGTTTGGGAAACCACATGGCTGCTTTTCATTGCTTGCCCTCTTGATATTTAAGAAAATTGCAATTTGCTCTTTAAATATCACAGCATTTTAAAGGGTATTTCAACCAGCTTCTCTTGCTGAGGATAATATAAAATCTGGTTGCAGTTAAGATGTTAGTACTTTTTGCACCATTTAAGGTTTTGAAAATTGTTGCTGAAATAAACCGTAACCTTAAGAACACCATAAACTTTCCCTAAGACTTCTAGAAACATTCTTTGCTTTGTATTGTACTTGCAAATGCCTTATTAATACTAGTTCATGCTTGTGTTTTAATAGCATGTTTCTTTACCCCAAACAAATATTGCATAGTACATGTGTATGTGCGGTTTCTCCCTATTTGTCCAGGCAACATTGGTATCTTTATGATAAGCATCAGTTTCTCTGTAAGTGAGCACTCAGCCCTAGTTGTCTACAAAACTCACCAATCATCACATTAAGAAAAAAGTTCTCGCTGGGGATTTAGCTCAGTGGTTCTGCTGCCTGCCTTGCAACCACAGGTCCCGAGTTCCATCCCCGGTACCAAAAAAAAAAAAAAGAAAAAAGTTCTCTGTGTCTCAGACACACCAGTAGTTTCTTCCAGGGAGACAGCATGGGTATTTATCATCCTCAGCCCCTGAAAGAGAGCCAAAGATCGGGCTCCTCTTGACGTCCACTCAGTCCTAAGCTGCCACTCTGTGAGCACTGGATTTGCTGTTAGCATACAAGTCTGCTGTCGTATTGATGCAGGACAGCTCAGTTAAATTTCCGTGGTACCAGATGCATCAGGGGTAAGGATTGCCTGGTTAGCAAGGATGAAAATCATCATGGCTGAGTGGTATAGCAGCTCTGTATCCTTCATCACCGGAATGGTAAGAAGAGTTTGGCCTCTGAATCTGGTGGTCATGACCTCAGCAGGGTGTGATGTATGTTTCCTGCCCTCTGTCCCAGCAGGGTCTTCCAGAGATCCTTTTCAGATGTGTAGTCTGGAGACAAGCCTCAACCAGTACCTGACAAGTGAGCAGGGCTTTGAAGTATAAAGCCAGCGACCTTTCACTTCTCTCTTCCAGCCAACTTCAGTGTTTTCTGGAGAGGAGACTCCCTGTGGAATCCTTAATCTCTCCTGAGATTTGTATCAGGCTATTAGTGCTCTTCCTAGAGGCTGCCTGAATCACTGGGAGTCAGGTAGGCTTCTTTCTTTCCTCCCTTAAGACTGATCTCCCTCCAAGACAGGCCCTTTCAGAGCCTTAGTTTCCTCAAGTTCTCTTTCCTTCCTCCCCTTTGGCTGAGAGAAGCAAGTCCTTGTGATTACTCCTATGTGATACTTTGGCTACTGAAACCCAAGAATCCCTTCTCCAGATTGTCTGACAACGATTCTTTTTCAGAGTTAAATTTCTTCTTTTCCAGCTTTCTACCCTGTATAATGATTGTTAGTACAACTGAAGGACAGTAATGTTTGCTGTATTTGTTTATCTATTTTTAGTAATGTTGCTTTAGAAATATTGAATTTAGAAATATTAAAAATTAAGTAGCAATTTCCTATCAAGCACCCTTTTAGCCAGTCTTTACAGCTCTGATTAAAGTAAAGCCTTGCCCAGCCTTCTGTTAAACAGAAGGATGCAGTGAGAATATTTGCCTCCCTATCTTTTACACTGGGTGGACAATGCAGTCATATCAGAGAGAGAGATAGAAGTCAGAGTTTACAATATCCTGAGACCCTAATTCTATGTTACACTACCCATTCAATCTATGAAGTGTGAAAAAGAAATGGATGCACAGGAAACAAAACATGACGGAGGAACAGTTCTTTATTAACTCCAGCTTTATCCAAGCCAGAATGCTTTCATGGCTGTACCACACTAGCAGTGCCCGAGGCTTCTTACACCTTCTCCTCCCTGCCAACAGTTAGGGTTGCCCAGCTTTCCAGTCTCTGTAGTCCAGATTAAGTTCTGTCAGTTGCCTTGTCTTATCCTTTGCCCATTGTTCTGTCAGAGTTACTGTTCTCTTGCTGATTTTGAGCAATTTATCTTTTCTCTGTAATAACCCCTTTTGAACAAATATCTTCTCCCATTCTATCATTGAGGCGTTTGTCTGTGAACTTTGTCTATGCTGTCTGTCATTGAAAAAAACCCTTTAATTTGATGTGATAAAATGATATGAATCAAATACTTACTGGCTTTAAAAAATTTTCCTTGTTGGTAGGGCTCAGGATCTTCTGTTTTATTAAATTTACAGTTCAGAGATAGATGTTGAACCATCCTTGAATTCCTTAGATCTTTATTAATTTTGATGTCTTAGTATTTCTAAAATACATCATTGAGTTCTTTTTGGTACTGTGTAGTATAAAATTTTTGTATCATGTTAAAATGTATCTAAGACTTTCTTGTCATCAGATATTTAGAGTCAGTATCTTAATAGCTTCAGAAATATTCTCACTGGTTTTTGACTGGCCCCTATTTTTCTGGAACAGCTTGTATAAAATGGGAATTAACTGTCCCTTAGCATTTGGTAGGACACATTGTAAAATTGTCTGCACCTGCTGTTTTTCAGGAGATGAGGCTCTTTGCTGTTTTAATCTCTTTCTCACTGATTGGCCTGTTCAGGTTTTATATTTCTTCTTGTACCAGTTTTGGTATAACTTAATGAGAATTGATCTATTATCTATAGGTCATAAATTTGTTAGCACATAGCTATTATTAGTGTTTAATATTCTGTTATTATTTTCTAAGTCTCCTTTGTGTCTGTACTTTGGCATTCCTTCTCATTCTGTATTTTAATTATTTATTTCTCCTCACTTTTTCTTGCCAAGTATTTCTTGCCAGAGTTTAATCTTATTAATCTTTACAAAGAACAAGCTTTTTGATTGTGTTATTTCTCTTTATTGCCGATATGTTTTTCTGTATATCACTGATAGTTGCTGTTCCTGATTTAATTTCTTAGTTTGAGGGTTTTGGTTTTTTGTTCTTTTCCCAACTCATTGAGTTGACTACTTATCTTACTATCTTACTATATTTAATTTTTCCTATTTCCTTTGTAACATTTTAAAAGCTATAAATATCATTCTAAAAAATTCTTTAGTTATATTTCACAGATTTTGATAGGCAGTGTTTTTATTAGTCTAAATCTAAATATTTAATATCCTTTATGGCTTCTTCCAAAGTAGATTACTTGTTTGTTAAGGCTCTTTAACTTTTTAATTCTTTTGGTATTTTTGTTAATGTTTAAGTTTTATGGTATTGTGGTCAGAGAGCAGAAGATATATACATATATATTATATTATATATATATTTCTTTCAATTTATTCACCCTTTGTAGTCTATTATATGGTTTATAAATATTCATATATACTTTGAAAGAAAGGTGTGTGTACTCAAGAACTTGATACAGAATTGTTCTTCCTTTCATACGCTATTTATTATTTTGTGTAATTAATTTGTCAGTTTCTGAGAGGCATCTTTGTCTATGAAGTTTTGTTTCCTATGGTTGTGTCAATGGTAGCTAGGTACACTTTGATCTTGTGTGGTTGTGTGCATGCATGCACATTAGAATATACTTAGATCAACTAGATATGGTGGTGCATGCCTCTCCTCTAAGGAAGGAGGATTGCAAGTTTGAGACCTGTCCGGGCAACTTAGTGAGACTATAGTTTTTATTCCAAAGTTGCAGAAAAGGTATGCAGCTGGTAAATACACTTTAAAATCTCCAGATAGCTTCTTAGAAAACAACAATGCCTGGATACCATCCCAGAGATTCTGATTATAGTTGATCTAGAGTGAGGCTTGGCATTGGTACTTTAGAAAAGCTCCTCGGAAATCCAAGGATTCTGCTGTGTAGCCAGGTTGGACTGCTGTGGGGCCAGACCCAACTGTCCTCTTCTCACTGTGCTCTGCCTCTCCCCGTACATAGCAGCGTGCGCAGAAATATAGGGGATGTTGGAACAAGTTAAATGACACTAAGGGAGGAAAAACAAGGGAAATATAATGGGATAAAAAACAAAAAGCAAGGGGAGCTATTTTAGATTAAAAAACACCAAAAAAGATATAATAAAAAATAACGTATTAACCCTGATGAAATCCTAGACTGGGAAAAAATATAGTAACATTGAAATTTAGACTGGATATTTAATTAATACTTTGAAATTCCTGTTAATTTTTTAAGGTGGAAATGTCCTTATTCTTGGGAGATTCATGTGACGTTTTGGGGGCAAAGTATGCTAATGTCTAGCTTACTTTCAAATGTTTTAGTTCAGAAAAAGGATAAACAACTCCTAAGGTGTGTGTGCGCGTGCACACACGTGTGTACGCGCACACACACAGGGAGATGGTAGTGAATGTAGCAGAATGTTAACGTTGGTGAATCTGTGTGTACTTGTAACAAAGCTTTCAGTTTTCCACTATATTTTAAAATATTCAAAATGAAAAAAGTTGAGTGAAAAACTATGCCTTATGTTACTGAGTGAGAAACACTGTTGTGTTCTTCAGTGTAAGTGTGGATTCCAGGAACTGCCATTGCTACTCTCCACTCTGGCTTCAGTGTTCTAGAGTATAAAATCACTGCTGTCTTTTGTTCAAAGCTAGCATGGTTAGGCTTGCTATTTTATTTGGGCATCATTTCTAGTAATTATTTCTATTCAGTGCATCAATTTTATTTCCCAGTGTATCACACAAGGTGTCAGTAAAGAAAATACTAGATAAAGATTTTTAAATTATTCAAGTAACCATAGACTAAGAGAACCTTGGGAAATGAATGAAGCCTTCACATATTTTGGCAAAAACAATTGTTTTTATGAACACATTGCAAAAGTCAAACAGAATGAGGCTGTTATATCATTGCTGTCATATAATTTTGTCAACAATTATGCAAAAACCTTCTTCATCCGTTCTAAGCAGTACGTGCTTGCACTAATAACCAAAGTCTGTTACACATAAAATAAATTGATTTTTCCCACTCTAATCTATGAAACTTGGTCTCCACCCTTACGCTATGATCCACCTTCTCTGTAAATTATCTCCAGGTGTCTTGTTTAATCTCTGACCTGGCAGGGAGCAGGCATTCAGTTATGTCAGCCTGGGTGGTGGAAAGAGTAGTGGACTTGGGGGGAGGTGGCCAAGGATGGGGTCCCCCACTGTGCTTCTGAAGTCAGGGGGTTGGGCAGATTATGTCAGAAGATCCTTGCGGCTAAAAGGTGCTATGAGTGAATATATTTTCACTGCTAGTAAGGATTCAGTGCGATAGGCTGTGATGAGTCATGAACATGAATGGCGTGGGGATCTTCCGTTGGCACAGGTCTGTCTCTCAGAACCATCACAGCCACTGCAACTTACCTTGCCCCTGTTTCTCCCTGTATTTATCCACCCAGCATTATGGAGTGACTGCTGGTCGGGATGCTGTGCTGGGCCCAGTTCATGCAAAAGCGATTCCTGCTCTCTCCTGTCTCCTCCCATCCTTCCTAGCCCAGGTACGCTGTGTAGCCCTCCCCTCAGTCCTTACTGATTGGGGAGCTCTTCGAGTCCCTCTATGGAGAGGCCTGCTGCTCCCACCTTCCTTCCTCTTTGCCCCGAAGCTGACTCCAGAGCTGCTTGGTTTGACCATCGGCAGGTTAATCCCAGTTGCAATAATTTGTGTGAATTACTTGGCAGTGAAGTCTTCTTATCTCACTACACAGAGGCCCCACTATATTGCCTCTGTGTCTGACAAGCTCTTTTGTGGGTTTTCGCTAAAGCATTCACGGCCGTCTCATCTCTGCCGTGGTGCTCCCAGTTGCAGCTGCTCCAGGATCCAGGCCTGACCACTACCCGTGATGCTCTTGTGCTGTACCTCAGATTGTCTGAACTGCAGACACAGCGCAGGGTCAGCCTGCCACGTCCTGCTTGTCCATCTCCTCACCCTGACCCCGTCTTCTTTAGCAGCAGTGACTGGAGGGTCAGAAACATTATGTTGCTCACAAGACATGACTTTGGCTTATCTTGAGGTTTTATTTATTTATTGTTTATGCTTTATTAGTCCATGTTTGCAGTACATAATGATTATATTCATCACGGGGAGTTGGTACAGGTACATAAAACATCTTGATTTTATTGTTCATCCCTGTGGCCATAAATGTATTTGTGAATTAGAGTCCTTTTCAGATTCTATTTTGTGATGCCTAGTGCTTTTTAACTTTAAACAGCCTCTTTTCCACAAATGGGTTTTTGTGTATGTAGATAATATCTACTGAAATTTCTATAATTGAATTAGAACTAAGACATTTAAAAATATTATTGCAAAATAAAGATACATCTACTTGTGTTTCTGTGTACATTTAAGGAAAATTTTGGATGCTAATGATTTGTTGAGTGTCAGTGAGGTTAATATAGTTTCAGTAGGTATAGCCACAGTGAAAATACTGTTAATCTCTAAAGGCACTTAGTTATACTTTAAATCTAGTATCTAGAACATTCTGGCAAAGACAAGAACACATAAGCATGCATTCAGCCCGGGTTTTCTGAAGGGGCCGTGGTCTCTCTGGTGCTGCTGTCTGACGGCGCTATGGAGACTGTGGAAATGGGTGGACCTGCTGTGTTTGGCCTGCTTGGTCTGCTGACCCCCACATTATTCTCAGGAAGGCACGGGAATGAGAAAGGCAGAGAAAGACTGGGTGTTGTTAAATAGTTTCTTGGCCTTGGATGCCCACTGACTGCACCTCAAGCTTGGAGAAGCTCTGCTGAAGTTGTTAGCTGATGCTGGGTGGGATTTTAGTGAATACCACTTGGAAATTCACCACTTTTTCATTTGTTTGCTTGAACTTGTGATTTTCCTGCCCCAGCCTCTCAGAACCTGGAATTACAAGCGTGTACCACCACAGCTGGCTTTAAAAAAAAAAAAAAAATTAAATGGTTATTAGATTTCTTTTCCTTTGTTTATTCTGTGGAGTGCTAAAATTTTGTTCAGTTGTAGACCTGTTCATACCTTATTTTGCTATTTGTGTCCTGGTCTGTATGCACCTTAATTTTTTATTTTAATTTTTATCAGTCCGTGTTTGCAGTACATAATGATGACATTCATCGTGGGGCACTGGTACAGGTGCATAACACATCTTAATTTGTTTTCATCCTAGTCTCCTGTCTTCCCTCCCCCGCATCTCTTGGTCCCCTTCCCTTTTTTGTGTGTTTTTTTTGGTACCGGGGATCAAACTGAGGTCCTTGTGCTTGCACAGCAGGCGGCGAAACCACTGAGCTAAAGCCCTGGCCGGTCCCCTTCCCTTTTGCAAGATCTTAATTTATCAAGCCTATTTACATTGTGAACTATAGTCTTAGGTCCTCTTAATGTGTTTTGTAGCTTATAGCATTATCTTGCACATTTCTTATGAGGAAAATTTGATTCTTTTTAATATTATTTGAAAGAAAAATTTTTCTAGCATTTCTCCACAGGCTACTGTTGATAGAGAATGAAACTATTGCCATGTGTATCTTAACTGGATACTTAATGCTATTATTATTTCTAATAGTTTTATAGTTGGTTATTTTGACATTCAAAATATAAAATAGTTTTGTCTGCAAATAATAATTTTGCAACCTCTCATTTATTACCTTATTTCATTGGCTATCCCTGTAAGAACTGCGTTATATAATAGTAGTAACTGCCGTGTTCTGGACTTCAGTGGGAATGCCTCCAGTATTACACCCTCGAGCACAGTGCTACACCGTGCGTCTTCTCCTTTACTAAGTTTTTGTTTGAATGAATGTTGAATCTTTTAAAAAGTGCCCTTTGAGCCTCTTCCAAAGTGCTCCCCCAGCCTTTGGCCCGATAGTATGATGAGATAAAATCCTGAATAATTCTTGCATCCTTCATATCCCTGTGGCCCTCATTTGTCATGGTATGTGATGTGCTTGTAACTCAGTTACGTTCACCACTAATTTATTTACGATGTTTGGATTTGAAATCCAAAGTGAGATGAGTCTATGTAGTGTCTTTTTATTATGCTGTCTTCATTGTACTTTGGCATTAGGCTCTGTTCACTTTGTAGGAAGAATTAGAAAGCCTTTCTTTTGTTTTTATTGCTTTGGAACAGTTAGAAAAGCATTGAGAGCAATCAAGTGTTCCCAGTGAAAGAAATCATACGCGAAGCATGGGCTAGAGCTTTTTTTAGTTGGCAGCTTTCATGACCTCTAATGACTATTGATTTTTATAGTATTTTTTTCTTTTATTGTATTAATTTTGATATTCTATACTTTACCAAAGATCATGTATTTTTTGTTTGTTTTTGGTACCGCGGATCGAATTCGGGTCCTTGCGCTTGCGAGGCAGGCGTCGGAACTACTGAGCTAAATCCCCGGCCCCAAAGATCATGTATTTAAAGCACATGTTTGAGTGTGTACTTTCCTCTACACCTGTGATCATATACTTTTCAATTTCCCCCTCAGTTTTTCCAGTAGCTAGTGACTTTCCTATTATTTATTCTTTTTTGTTATTGTTTTTGTTTTTGTACTGGGGATCAAACTCAGGTCCTTGTGCTTGCGCAGCAGGCAGCGAAACCACTGAGCTAAATCCCCAGCCCCCTATTATTTGTTCTTAATGTAAGTAATCTCTACTTTTGCCTTTTATTACTGAAGACTTTCTTTCAGATATAGTAAGGCCGAGGTGGTCAGGTGCAGTTGCAGATGCAGATTGGAGTTCACAATAGACTTGCAAGCTGGAATTGTAGTTTTGGGAACCCTTAAAGGACTACTGTGCCCTAAGAGTTCCTACAGGACTCTCAGAGGATACACCTGTCTGTTCTGCTGCTACCTAGGTTTGCCTTCTTTAGAGCAAGAAACATAAAAATGTCTGTGAGTTAAAAAAAAATTTTTTTATTGTGGTAAAATTACATATCGTGAAAGTTACCATGTTAACCCTTTCTGAATGTTTAATTTAGTGGTATTAATTGTATGCCCTGTATTGTGCAACTATTACCACTATTTTCAAAGTTTGTCATCAGCCCAAACAAAAGCTTTTTAGCAACTAAGCAACAACCTTTCATTTCCCTTTCTGCCCATCCCCGATAACCACTTACCTACTTCCTGTCTACACCAATTTGCCTATTTTAAATATTTCATATAAGTGAGATCAGCCAATATTTGTCCTTTTGTGTCTGGCTTATTTCACTTAGTGTAGTGTTTTCAAGGTTCAGTTGTGTTCTGCCAGATACCAGAATATCATCTCTTTCTTTGGCTGAATAACATTCCATTTGCGTACACTACATTTTGTTCATCCATGTTTGTGGACATTTGAGTTGTTTCCACCTTTCAGCCCTTTAGTCATTTGAATAACGAATGATGCTGAAATGGACATTGGTGTGCAAGTATCTGCGTCTCTGTTTTCAATTCTTTTAAAACCTGTATATAAATGAGTATATAAATGAGTAGAATTGCTGGATCACACAAGTTCTGTGTTCAGCCTTTGGATGAATGTGAGGGTTTTTTAAATGGAATCTTTATAGAGAATAATTGGTAGAGGGAGTTAACAGAAATAGAAAATCAAGATGAGTTGTAAGAAATCTTGATATAATAATTACATCTGTTCTTCGAAATATAACTGGAGCTCTTTTTCAGGATTATTCTTTCTGCTTCCTTCTTTTCTTCTTTTCCTTTTTATCCTGCAGTCATCCCTGCCTGCTTGCCTGTTTCTCGTGTACCCGGGGCCTTGGGCTGTAGGATATTCTTTTAACATTACAAATTCTTCATGTGCCAGAACATGCTCTGTCCCGCTTTCCCCGGCACCTGCAGGAAGACATGCCTGTCAGCCGTCCTCTAGCATGTTTAACATGAAATTATTGGAACAGAAACTAAAGGAAATAATTTCTCACAAATGTTGTTCATCTTGTCTGGAATAGGGGCCCACGGCCTCTAGGTGCCACTCACTGTGTGCCTGTCCTTCTCCTTGGAGGTGAGTGAAGACCAGAAGGTGGCCAGAGTCACTGTTCTCTAGGCTCTTGCTGCACACTTCCAGCTTCATCCTGGGCTCCTTGGATTGTTTTATAACCCCCTTCCTTGGGCTGACTAGCAGTGGAAAAGGAAGAACAACTTGCCTGAGTGGCGGTGTCCTTTTCTCCTCATTTCCCCTTCTGTACTCATGGGACTACAGTCACCCTCAGGCTCTCTCTTGGTGGTGTCCACTCTTTTCTCCTCTGGTGCTTCCCAGGCCAGGCCAGTCTGTGCTAGTGCCAAGGTGTGAATGCAGGGTTCATCTCTGCTTACAGTTACACTGCCATAGAGATGATAGACTCTGGCCCTGGGCGGGGCCTGCGAGAGGATATACTCTTCTTGACGTGTAATGCTCCACCACTGGTGGCTCTCACTGAGGCACTTTATGTTATGACAAAGACTTTGTGACACGGGATGAACATATAGATTTGCTCTTAGCCCACAGGGTGGACTTGAATTTTGTTTGATGCTAATAATACTAGCCCACCAGATAACCTGGCTTTTTCTTGCTGATCAG